GGCTCAATAAGAAGCTGACGACACATATGAAGATCCAGGTTTATAGAGCCTGTGTTCTAAGCACGCTCCTGTACTGCAGTGAGTCCTGGACCCTTTGTGCCCGGCAGGAGAGGAAGCTGAACACCTTCCATACGCGTTGCCTCCGACAGATTTTTGGTATCATCTGGCAGGACAAAGTTCCAAACAAGGTAGTCCTAGAATGAGCTGGAATTTTCAGCATGAATATATTACTGAAACAGCGACGTCTACATTGGCTCGGGCACGTCATGAGAATGGCTGATGGTCAGATTCCAAAGGATCTCCTATATGGAGAATTAGTGCAGGGAAAGCGCCCCAGAGGGAGACCACAACTGCAATACAAGGACATCTGCAAGCGAGATCTGAAGGCCTTAGGAATAGACCTCAACAGATGGGAAACCCTGACATCTGAGCGTTCAGCCTGGAGGCAGGCACTGCATCACGGCCTCTCCCAATTTGAAGAGACCCTTGCCCAGCAGGCCGAGGCAAAGAGGAAGTCACAAAGAAAGCAAAACCTTACCATAGTCTTTTGAGACTGAAGGATGCCTAAGGATAGGTGTGGTCGTAAGGTGCAACGAACAAGAGAGACATGTAGGCTGCAAAAGAAATATTTGTGGTCAGAGGGCCAAGAGGGATACATTGCATACACTTCGTCCTGTATGTTTCACAGGGGAAGGAATGTAATGGCACTGGGCATTTCTCTGCTTCTATAACCAGCGGTGGCCAGAGATGTGTTTTGGGGGGAATAACAGATGCATCACAGATGAGTACCTATGCATGTTACAATGCAGTGGAAACTAGCCACACACAAGATGAGCTTAGAATCGCGATGAGAACTGCTGCTTTTGTTCAGCTACTTTTAAAAAGACCACCTTCCATGCATCCAAAGTTGCTGGAGCCACATGTTCAGCTTTCCAGAAGAGGAAGAACAGCAGCACATAAAGGAACTGGAAAAAGTTGCTAATGCATTGTGCTTATATGGGAAAGAGGAACAGGGAAAGCTGGGTCACCATTCCTGATCCTGAGCAACCAGGGCCTTGGGCCTTTTCCTCCCCACAGCTGTCATCCTGCAGCCATTTCACCTTGTTGAGGAATCTCATAAGATTGAAAAATCATACCTAAGCTTTCTTGTTCTCCTCAGCCCATTTTCCCATTTATATCTTACTGTTTTTAGAGAGTACATCTCTTATGCTAGGAGATGTATTCTCTTTAAACACACACACAAACACACACACACGCACGCACGCACGCACGCACGCACGCACACGCACACACACACACACACACACACACACACACACACACACACACACACAACACACACACACACACACCAAAAGCCTGAAATGGAAACTGCACTGAGACTCTATAGAGAGAAATCCCTTTCACCCTTTAGAAAGTGGCTGTCAGTCACAGTGCCTTAAATGCGATCCCCAATGTTCTCCTGCCTGGGCACTGACAGAATTCTCACCCGCAGAACTTGCACAATGCCACAGCAATGAGTGCCCCCTGCCTGTTCACTACATCATGCCTATAGCTTTTCCCATCTTGTCTCATTCTTACAGGACTCTGATCATATGCACTGAAGACATTTCCTCACTTGGTAACCTTCCTCACAGTGCACACAGTTTGGGAGGTACATCTGTCATTCTTGACACATTTCAATTCAGCTTAATTGCTGGTGATTGTGAATCACTGTTCTCAGAATGCTTTTCCATAAGCTGCATTAATGGGTATGTTAATGGTACTTACTGTCAGGCTGTTAACAGAACTCCTTTAGTACTTCTAAAGAGAAAGTAAACCCTTCTCTGCACCCACTACATCCACAGGATCTACTTTTTGAGGATGCTTAAGTCACACTTGCTACTGAAAACAGGATGCAATATTGAAGCAACTGTCTTCAAATGTTATTATGGGATACTGGTGTAGCTGGAAAAGCCAGTGTTTTCACAGCAACTGACAATGCAGGATACATTCTACAAGCATAAATCATAAAGCATTCTACAAGCCGCCTAGAGTGGTCAAAATGACTAGATAGGCGGGTATAAATACAATAAATAAATAAAAAAATTATTGGGATGTCCCTGGTTGCTTCCAGCAGAGACATTCTAATCTAGTGTAAATGGGCCCTTCTGCAGTAAAAGGCAAAGCAAATTACTTACAGGAACATTGACCTAAATTTACATGAGGGCAGGATCCAACCTAATCCATGCTGAGTTGCGCAGGCATTCATTGCAGGAAGTTAATCAATAAAGCCTAACTAATATTCTCATTTTCTTAATAATGCATGTTATTGCCAGATGAAAGGAAAACTCATAAAGCACTTTGTATCTGTATATTGCTAATTTTATTACCGATTTTGTTTAAATGAAACATTTCTCCCTGTGGTCTAAAAGCATGCTTAGCTATATCGCATCACACCATCTGCCAAACTGTGAGAAAAGGGGCAGTTTCCTTGAGATCTGATAAAACCTCCTTGTATTGTGAAGCACCCAGATGAAGAGCTTCATCTGAAACAGTCTTAAAGCTGTTTCAAAATAGAAACAGCTGTAGATGGCTGGGGTGGGCCCTAGCATTGGACAGAGTGAAACAAGAGCATTTGACCATCTTTTGAGCTGATCACAGAGTGAAACAAGAGCATTTGACCATCCTTTGAGCTGATCCTCCTGAAACACATACACACACACACACACACAGAGAGAGAGAGAGAGAGAGAGAGAGAGAGCGCAACATGTCTTGGACCAAAGATTTCAGGCCCTAAATTGGCTATTCCCTTGACTCAGTTTTTTCCTGCTAGGTCACTACCTGCAGGAAACAATCTGTCTCTAAGAACAGCAATGTTGTGAAGAGCATGTGTGCATGTCTGTGTTCATGTGCACACGCATGCACATGCGCTGCATGAGAGAATCTAGAGCACCCACAACAAATTACCTTCTCCAAGATTCCTGTGGGGAACGCTGCCAGAAGGAAACTGGTATGAAATGGATACTGTCTTTGAAAATTAATGTGTATGCATGATGAAAAGACTTGGCATTCCGGGATGAATACTAGTTTGATGTTGACAAAACGTCTGGTGTTATGTTTTTCCTGGAGAGAGAGTTTCCTGTATTGCTAAATCATCCCCCATAAATGTGTGGAGGCCCTGCAGCCACTGATTGAACGAGGCAAATAGGCATGAGTCATCATGGCCTCCAGAGATGAGACATTTTTCCCGCTCAACTCATCCTTGTTGAATTTGTGTCATCAGCACCACTTGGCTGCACTGCCACGCAGAACGATGACGCCGGCACAAGGACACACTCGGCATAGGCTGCTGTCAAAGACTCTGCCCTTTCGTGTGCTCAGGTATACAAGACGTGTTTCCAGAATCTGTGCTGCTCTTGCTCTAATCACCACTGCTTTCTCAGTTAAAGACTCTGACTTCAGAATGCTAATAGTCATTCAGGGACACGAAGAAAAACACACCAGCTCTGTACTCTTGCTTAGTTCTGTGCTAGGATTGGTTGCCTGTTGCAGCATGGAAAGCTGCTCTGAGAGACAGTGGCTAAATTAGCTCTTTCCAAGACATCAGCACACATGCCGGCACAAAAAAGGGCTCCAGTAGTTCCCATCTGTTGTATTTCTGTTAACTAGCAGGTTATACTATCTTTGAAAGTCTTATCTAGATGTACTGGGAGCAATCCACATGGCTGGAGTTCTTCCTGTCTCCATCTCTGTCCACTAGGAATGCTGATCTTCTAGTCCACTGGTTCTTAACCTTGGGTTACTCAGGAGTTTTGGACTGCAACTCCCAGAATCCTTCACCACCAGCTGTCCTGACTGGGGTTTCTGGGAGTTCCAGTTCAAAAGCAACCAAGTAACAAAGGTTAAGAACCACTGTTCTAGTCCACTGTGCACATCAGAGGGACCTTCCTTCCTTTCTTTCTAGTCTGACCTCCAGGACCTCCTTGCCTACAAAGATCCCAACCAAAATTAAAAGGGAGCAGGACCGCACACTCATATGCCTTTTCTCTTATACAGATATGTCTCTAAACTGAGTCGAAACATGCACACCACCGTACCACATACTTTTATAAACATGTAAGCCCACGTAGCACAAAGACTCATTCAGAGCTTGATAAAGTTCCATTTCAGATGGCAGCTCCCAGTATCCACCAGTCCGCATGGGCACTGCTGGTTCAGGAAATCTAGGAAATGTAAATTCCAAAAAGTAACTGCATTCTGCATTCATGCAAATGTGTACACTACACTACACACCCACACATCACACTCACAGCCATGCTCCCCAGACTCAAAGCTACTCTTGAAAGAAGCCTCCCATTGCAAAACTTGCTGTAGGCTCCTAATTGCAGTTTGTGTGTGTGGGGGGGATTGCCCCTCCCATCATGGGTTTTTTATTTGTTTTTTTGGCAAACTGAGTTGCTTTTGAGGGAATAAGTTTGTGAGACTGCATCAGGGTAGGAGGCATAATCCATTCTCTTGCTACCACCCCAGGACCTCCTCCTACCATCTCAGAAAATCATGTATTCTGAAAGGCTCTCACTGGAGCCAAATGTAAGCTTTTTGTTCCAAAAGCAGGAGAGGACAACTCTTCCATCTCCAGATGTGCCCTCCATGAAAAATAAGAAAAAGGATTGGAAAGAGCTTCCTGTTGGGATGCTCATTTAGATCTATCTGCCTACAGTAGGCATCCTTGAGTCTCGAGAGACTATGGTAACGTGCTCTATCTAAATTCTTTCTCTGTTTGATAGGGAAAACATATTCCGCCATGAAGCTTCACCTTCAGGAGGAAGGGCATTTGATGGACAGGGTAGTGTCCCAGATTAGCATATGGTACCTAGTGGACCACAATCTCCCTGCTAAGTTTGGTGAGAAAAGCAAAAGGATTTTGAGTCAATTTAAGGAAATATCTAAATAGCCACATAGTTCCTTCTTTCACCTGCATGTTCCAAAGCAGTGTCGGATTGTACTTCCTCCATTTTTTCCATGCAGTGGGAAACATAGGGCAATGGGCTTATTTTATTCTTCTTTCTCAAACAGATTGTGAATTTAAAAATATGCACAGTTTTGAAAAGGTACCAACAAGAATGCTTGAACAGTAGTCTTCATTTTCCATCTCTTCAGCCTGACCCTCCTCTCGTCTCTTAGCTCCAAAGCATTCACCATCAAGTTGTTTGGACTGGGCACATGGCACAGGGCTCATTTCCCTTGTGGACTAGCTGGAAACAGCTGATGGACCAAGTCATTTAGCTATTTTAACTAAAATGCATGCTTTATATAATATAGATCTGGGTTCTTCAAAGGAACAGGATGTGAAGGATGGAAGCAGGGAAGAAATCACTGGACAGTAATGAGGCATCCGTTCTCGGAGAGGCCAGACAAGGGCAGCTGAGGGGGTGAGCTGAGAAGAAGCATAGTGGGAAGTACTGTACTGGATGGTCCATCTTCCTATTCTCTAGGCACAGCTATTTGAGATCGGTTCTGCTCTTTCTTCTTCACTTCTGCCCAGATGTCTGAAAGATCTTGGATAAACTGCTGGATCTAAGAACAATGAGCATAACCATCAGATTAGTATACAAGTGGGTGACTTAAAACATTGGTACAAGTTTGATTCTGATGCTACTTTGATGTTCAATCAAGGCTGCTGATCTGGAATATAGGACTGTATTTGTCCATGGAGCAGGGGGGAGTGCAATACCAGAACTATTGCCAAATGTCCCAATTCATTATGTTGTGCTTAATTTTCAGATCAATTGTGTCCCACCTGACCATAATCATGTTCCCTCTGCATCCACATAACATACAGTGGCGCAGTGGTTAAAACGCTGTACTGCAGCTAAAACTGTGCTCACGACCTGGGGTTCAAATCCCAGGTAGCCGGCTCAAGGTTGACTCATATTTACCATATCCAGTTGCTTCTATCCTTCCGAGGTCGGTAAAATGAGTACCCAGCTTGCTGGGGGGGCAATGTGTAGCCTGTATAATTAAAAATTGTAAACCGCCCGGAGAGTGCTTGTAGCGCTATGGGGCGGGATATAAGTCCAATAAATAAATAAATACATTGTGATGCTTCTCACAGTGAGGCTTCCCTCTACATCCTGATGGAATATGTCATCCTTCATGCTATGCTGTAAACTTCCCAGAGATACAGAATTGGTACATGGTAGAAATAGAATGCTGGGGGTACCACCATGATCCTTGAACTGATCACAGGGTGATCTGTCTGAAAAAAAGGAGAGGGATTGCTCCACTCAATGCAGAACCTTCAACACCACTTCCTGTGATCATCTAGGCTGAACACATGGCCTTTCTACCCCCTCAGATACTCAAGGTGAATCCCCAGGAGAATTTCTGCTGTGCAGAAAGCAATGGGGACAGAATTTGGTAAGGGGTTTATAAAAGGAACACCAGTTCTCCAGGGAAGCAAGGCCAGCTGCAGAATTGGCCTGGCCAACCTTCATAAGTGATCAGTCCTCTACTGAGGCAACCTCCCTCTGTCTTTTAAAGTTATTTAGTTACTTAAAGCCCATAGAACTCATTGGGAGCTTTCCATGGTACTGAGAAGACCCGCCTGAAACTAGAAATATCTTGACAAGTCTAGCAACTCTCTCATGTTCCTGATGTGAACTTATGTGAAAAAAACATTACTGGGACTGGGACTAAGCAAGCATGTTCTCAATGGAGTTGGATAGACTCTGCTTAAGTCACTCCTATCGGATTCTATGTTCCTCTTAACGTGTGTGTCTCTACCTACACCTGTGACTCATATTTACCATATCCAGTTGCTTATGAGTATCTTCCAAAGGCACCATTAACGCTTCCTTCATCTGCTTGCTTACACTCTGGAAGAGGTTCAGGGTGGCCATCTTGATGGTACCTAGCATCAGGGTTTTCTTAGCAGCAGTATTCTGGATATGGGCCCAACGTGACTCCTGTGGAAATGTCAGAGGCAATGTGTCAGCTTCTGGGGTTAAGATATTATATTATAATATCACCCTAAACTCCATTTTGGGGACTTGCAGCATCTTGCAAAGCAGCCATCCTCAACATTTTTCACCCTCTGTGTTGCATTTATTGGATGTAATCAGGCCTCCCACAAAGAGTGAGGCCCGGTCATGCCTTTTTTCCTTGTCTAGGTCATGCAGAAAACATTCTAAGTGACTTACTTTTCTCTTTGCAGAAATGAAACAATGCTAAGATATTTGTTACTGGACTGAAGAGGGCGGCATCACATGACTTGCCAGTTGCAGTTGGCAGTTCTGAGCCCCCGCTTTTCACCATCCCTCTCTTACATCTATGATAATGATTGGATCACCTTAGCAAATGCATTCATTTATCATTCCCTTGCCCAGTGTCTGAATTCCAAGAGGGCAGGTACATTAGTGTGCCTGAGAATGTGAGCTGGCCTCAATATTGTATCCCTGTCAAATGGCATGTGTATCACTGATACCAAGAGATTTACAGATCTGTTATCATTCTGGTCATCTGCTAGGTTGTTTACTGAGCCAGAGTTTTCCAGTAGCTGGTCAAGTGTATGAGTGAATGGGAAAATGTTTTGAACAGTATTTTGCAGATGGCATGAACAAATACATGAGCTTGTTCAAATACTGTATGCAGTTTAGCCCCAAGGGAGCAGATCTACCCAGATGAGTTTCATGGGTGCTATCAAAATGTTGCCCACCAGCATTCACTGAAAAACAGGAAGTAGCACTATCTGTGACCCTTACCCAAACAATGACATCACTGCGGGCATGATCAAAACGCAGCTGCAGGCGTGCCAGCTCATTATTGTGCTGCAGAATGTCATCATCTTTTTCTTCCTTGTAGCGAGCCAGCCGGACCTTTGCTTGTTCAATCATCTCCATACCCTCCTGCGCTGACTGCACGAGATCCCGGTGCATCCCCACTAGTGTCTTATAGCGACCAATTACTTCCCGAATCTCCTCAAACTGCAGGAGATGGATGGTGTTACTGTCCTGCACCCTGAAGTACTGATTCCCACCCCCCTTATAATCAGTTCAGAGCTTGGAAATATTAGTGTTTGGACTAAAACTTCCAGAATTTCCCAGCTAGCATAGCCAACTGCAGTTTCTGGAATCTGTAGTCCCCAAAGTAACTTTTATGAGTTCTGAACCAATTCCACATGGATCACACATGTAACCCACTCCACCCACCCCAACATGCAGAAACAGAAGACTCAAGACCCCATGGTGTAGTACAGTCAACATCTTGTTTTGGGAAAGCTGCTTCCTCAATATGGCTCTTCAGTTTTGCAATGGATATTTGATAATAGCTTTGTCGGCTGCTTGGAGTTACAGATTGAATGCACAGATGCCACAAACAACAGGACAAAAGGTCAACATGCAGATCTGACAGCGCTGTTCATAAAACCAGCGCTCTTGCTGGTCTCTCATCCAGATCTCTCAGTATAGTGGGCTGTCTCTGCAGAGCCAACATTAAAACTGGAATGGCAAGTTTGTAGCAGAGTCAGACAAAACCACAACCAAATAACCGATTTGCAGTGTTTGTGCTGTGTCCTCCAACTCTTTGGCATTCTCTGGTATGGCGTACAAGCACCAAATGAAGAAATAAGCCCCTGCCATTTGGAGATACCTAAAACTCTCATTCCTTTCTTAGTGGTTAATCACTTATACATACCTCTGACACTTGAACCACCTTTTCCAAGTATTTGTTGAAGATGGAGTATTGCTGTAGCTTGTTGTAGAGCTTCTGGTGTTGCTGCTTCAGGGCAGCCATCTCCAGTTTTGCCTTGGCCAGTTCCTTCACTCTCTGCTTCTTCAGTTCCCTCTCCTTGTTGGCCTTCTTCAGGGCTCTGATCCGTTTCTGGTCATTTTCCTAATGGCCCCCAGGATCACACACACACACACACACACACACCAGCAACACACAGCATTGTAAATAAATCGAAATGAGAGAAAGAGGTTACTGGAAGTAGGTGGCCAGTGGCCTTACTTCTTTTGTCAGAATATATGGAATTGTCAGAGGTATGCTGGAATCCACCTTATAGCAGCTCATGCCAGAGTTCAGCAAAGTTACTTGTTCAGACATTAACCAACTATGCCGGCTGGAGGATTTTAGGATTTGTAATCCAGCAAAATTCCCAAGCTCTGCATCAGTCATTTTGCCCACGCAGACACTTCCCAATCCATTAACCCAGTATTGTCAATGCTGATGGTAGTCACTCTCCAGGGTCTCCGGCAAAACTGGGGGGGGGGCTTTCCCATTGTTTACTGCCTTATTATTTTAGCTCAGAATGCCAAGGATTGAATCTGAGACCTTCTGCATGCACAACAATGGTTCGACTATTGCTACAAGGTAGATGGCCTTTGTCTGACCCTAGAAAGCCAGTGCAGTGCTCAGAGCTTTAGCCTTGCCATTACAGTATTGTCACCAATTGAACTAGCCTGGCTGTAACAAAAATCATTTCCTAAATGATTCAGGGCTGTAAAATCTTTTATCACACAAACAGACCTGGGATGTGCGGTACCTTGACAGAATTCTCTAGGCTGATTCTCTAGAGTGAATCTATAGGAAGAGATGATGATCAAATTGAGTTTTTGGGCTGGATGTCATGTATGATGACTGAAGACTCATGTGTGTGTATGTGTGTGTGCGTTTATGTGTGCCAGGCATCACCAGTGGAAGAGCAGTATAGCGAGACCCAGCTGGATCCTTCTCTAAAGAAGGACACAGTGCCATAACTAGTCATTTCTACATCAGTTTCCAAGGCTATACTTCCTCCACATAAGAATAATTTAAGAGGCAAACTGAGAATAATTGCAGGGATTGCTACAGAACTTTAAGGTTCTCAGAACTCAAGACTGTTCTTACTCAAAATCTATTGTGCAGAAATGCAACTAAGCAAATATACAGTGGTGTCTCGACTTACGAACAACCTGACTTACGACCGATTCGAGTTACGACCAGCTCCGGCCGCAAGATTTTGCTTCAACTTGTGACCAGTGCTTTGAGGTACAAACAGAAAAAAAGCTGGGGAAAGTGGGGAATTTGAACTGCTTTCAGTTAACCGTTGATCAGTGAAGAGGCTGCTTCTCTGTAGCTCTTTTGCCCCAGCGGTTAGAGAGTGTGGGTTCGGAAAGAGACTTCGGACTGCCTGATACTGCCTGGCACTGTACTATACTGTATTTTTGCGGGGTATTTTTCTTTTTTTTAATTTTTGCTTTTTGGATTTTTGCTTTTTGACTTTTTTAAAATAGAGAGACTGCCTGTTCTGGGTGAGTACTGTATGTACTGGGTTTTTGCAGCATGGGTTTGGGCTGGGGGGTTTAAGTTTCTGTGCTCTGATGGGTCTTGCAGTGTGTAGTTGTAGCATTTTTAGTCCCTGCTAGAATGTGGGTTTTTTTTTTTTGTATGCTGTGGCTCCTAGGGTTTGTGTACTGTGACCTCTCTTTTCTTTTAAAAGGTATTTGGTTTAAAATGTGTTGGTTTAAAACAGGGGTCAGGGAATTTTTTTACCTTTTACCCTCCAAAAAAATTTATATAAGCCAACATTACCCCCTGGATTTGAAAGGAAGCAAATGATACAGTATTTGATGAAGCCACCCCTTTTCCCACCTTAATTCATAGTTTAGAGTCAGTCTCTCACACACACAAACAAACACACACACATCCACCCTCCCTCCACCCTTTTTTCCCACCTTAATTCAAGCCTCGCCTGTTCCTTTTTTCATAGTTTTGAGTCAGTCTCTCTCTCACACACAC